CCCAGCTAGAGTGAGTCCGTGCGCAGCCAGTCACAGGCAACCTCAAATCCGGCTCGGCGGGCGCTGGGCTCAGCCTGTAATCCTGCTCTTGGGAGGCGGAGGCGGGCTGGATTGCTCAAGGTCAGAGTTCAAAAACCAGCCTGAGCTAGGCGGACCCGTCTCTATATAAAATAGAAAGAATTAATTGGCAGGTATATTAAATAGCCGGGCATTGTGCGAGCTGTTTCCCAGTAACTCGGTGAGGGCAGAAGGATCACTCAGCAGTTTGAGGTTGCTGTGAGCTAGGGTGACGCCATGGACACTCTTAGGCTGGACAACAAAGTGGAGACTCTTCCGAAAAAAAAAAAAAAAAAAAAACTCCTGGGCTCGAGTGCATCTTCTGCCTCAGCCTCCAGGTGTGATACAGACATTTGCGCCACCATGCCCCGGCTTAATTTTTATATTATTATATAAGTTGCATAATTTCTTTCATTTTAGTACGGGCTCGGCTAGGCTGGTTGAACATCCTGACCTTAAGCAATCGCCGCCTCGGCTCCCAAGAGCTAGGATCTACAGGGCCGTGAGCCACAGCGCCGGCAAAATTGTGCATTATATTTGCTATTTCATTGCTATTTGAATGAAGGTGGAAATTCAATTACACCTTAAGATAACACTTGGAAACCTATTCTCTCTTTTATAGTAGAGATGGGGTCTCGCTCTTGCTCAGGCTGGTTTTGAACTCCTGACCTCAAGCAATCTGCCCACCTCAGCCTCCCAGAGTGCTAGGATTACAGGAGTGAGCCACCACACCTGGCCTAACAAAAATTTTTAAAGCTATGCTTGGACAAGAATATAATCTATTAGAGGAAAGATGGCATAATGTTAACTGATAATAGAGAGAAGGAAGAGTTCCTTACAAAATTTGCCTTTGTCTTTTTCATCTGTAAGTATGGCCCTCAAGTGGGAAACAACAGACAAAAATGAAAAGAAGCTGAAGTCTGTGATAGTTAAAAAGAGGGTACTAAAGCTGAGTGTATTTAAACATATTTAAGACTGTACATTCAAACAAATTAAATCTCAAGGTCTTGAAAAAATTTCAAACACAGAGGAAAAAGAATTTTTATTTAATTTTTTTGAGACAGAGTCTCACTCTGTTGCCTGGGTTAGAGTGTCGTGGCATCAGCCTAGCTCACAGCAACCTCAAACTTCTGGGCTCGAGCCATCCCTGCTGCCTCAGCCTCCGGAGTAGCTGGGACTACAGGCATGCATCACCATGCCCAGCTAATTTTTTTCTATATATTTTCAGTTGGCCAATTAATTTGTTTTTATTTTTAGTAGAGACGGGGTCTCTTGCTCAGGCCTTTTCGAACTCCTGACCTTGAGCGATCCTCCCGCCTCGGCCTCCCAGAGTGCTAGGATTACAGGCATGAGCCACTGCGCCTGGCTGAAAAATAATTTTCAAATGCTGCACTGATTTTTTTTAAAAAGGTGGAAAGACAGATTCCGAAAATATAGAATGACAAGCTTAACGTTGATCTCTTAAAAATTTCTAGAAGAGGGTATTAAGTGTGTGAATTCTAAGTACCGAGGATTTTAAAAAGCTAACACTAGGTGCTGAATCAACAACTAGATGAGAAAAGTCCAAATCAAGGGAATTTTCCTTTATAATAAGGTTTTCGATAAATTTTGATTTGGTAATGCTATAGAATGCTCTAGCAGTATACCTTGATTTCCCATGACAGCCTTATGAGTCAGAAACATAGGTGGGACACTAGTAGAGGTAAGTAAATTCACAGCTGGTTGAATAGTTCTTTCTGAAGAGCAATAAAAAGAGGTCTCTGGTAGCTACAAGGTTTTGTCTTTGGTTAGGTCCTATTCATTATTGTTTTCAGTGACTACAGTAAACACTAGAAAGCTTTTTTTATTTGTACAAGTTAGAAAGTACAGGAAATATTAGATAAAAGATCCAAAATTCAAAAAGATTCTGATAAGTTGGCATAACAAACTTAAACTAAAAAGTGATACTTAACAGGAGTAAGCTAACTCCTCCTGTACTTAGATTTAAAATACAATTGTCTAAATAAATATATAAACAATTATTTGGTGAAAGAGCTTGTTTGGTGGTGATTTATATAGAAAAAATCCTTATATTTTAGTGATTTAGAGTGATTGAATGTGTTTTTAAAAACTAATGATATTTTATGCTATATATTAAAAGGTCAGAATGTCAAGAAAAAATTTGTTTTGTGAGTTTAACTGAAATGGCCAGTTAAAGAGTCATAAAAAGTATAAACTTAGCTTTCTCTGAGAGCATGTAAAAATAAGTTTTATGGGTCTTTTAGACTCACTCAAACTGTAATGACATCTCTAGTATTGTAAATACAAATAATATGAAATAGTGTCTGTCTACAACTCTCACAGACACTACAATGAAAAAGAATTCTATACTGAGAATCTTTTTGTTAATTTAATATTTAGCTGAAAGGACAGATGAAATTGGGGCACCTATTTAAGAATTTTCTAAAGACACTTTTTTCATTTTTTGGGGGGAGACAGAGTCTCGCTTTGTCACCTTGGCTAGAGTGCAGAGGTAGCTCACTACAACCTTAAATTTCTGGGCTCAAGTGATCCTCCTGCATCCGCCTCCCAAGTAGCTACTAAGACTACAGGTGCACTACTACATCCAGCTAATTTTTCTATTATTTTGTAGAGATGGGCTTTTGCTCTTGCTCAGGCTGGTCTCAAACTCCTGAGATCAAGTGATCCTCCCAACCTCCCCCAGTGCTAGGATTACAGGTGTGAGCCACCTTGCCCAGCCACTTTTTCTGTTTTCTGAAACCATGTTTTTCTGCTCCAGCATAAAATACTTTCAGAAAATTCCCTTTAATTAATACTTCAAGGTTTTGGTGCAGGTATTACCTATTAATAGAAATAAAGACTAGGTGAAAGAGTGTCAGATTCTGTCTTGTACAATTCTCTTTTATGCTGAAGAATTTTTAGTGAAAGTAATGGTAAAAGGAGAAAGGGAAGGTCAAAAAAATTTAGTCTACTCAAAATTTTTTGGCACTACTTTAGAGCTATCATGCATTCTAAAAACTGAACTGATACTGAAAGAAACACTTTGACCCTTTTTATTACTCCAAATAATTCAGGAAATAAAGCAACTTGATAGATTTTGGTGTATTAATGAAATATGCAAAGACATCTTACACTAAATTTCATAAAAAGACTTGATTACCTAGGGATATTAACAAGTAAATAACCTATTAAGCAACTCAGGAAACTTCATCCTACATGAAATATTAAAATTTACAACTTTTAAAGCTTTAACAGGGAAAAAATCTTTATTACATATTTTATCTAGTCTAATGTCAAATGATTTAGAAAGTGGAAATCTCTTTCTAGGAGCAAAAGCATAAACAACGTAAGTAATTTATATACATACAGAAATGTACAGTCTTCTGGAAAGTTTTCATATGATGTAGAGGGAGATGTATTTGATTTGTTTTCCTGTTCATTCTGAGTCTCAGGCATATGATCTACACAAAAAATACAAATGTGAATAACAAGAATACCAACTTAAAAATAATTCACTTTACTATCCAAATAATATCTTCATTAACTAGTGATTCTGCCCATATGGAGCCCTAAAATTAGCAAACATATTAACATTTCAAAATTGAGCCAAAAGATTACATGTAAATATTTTCAAAAACATTAAGAAAAAATGATAGGGTAAAATAAATCACTTAGAAGAGAATTCTGCTGGAGAAACTCTAGTTTGGCCTGAACTTGATCTGCACTTTAAGACTCTATAAAAGGTCAGAAAATGGAAAGTTTATGTATTTTTTGTTTTCCCATTGTTCTACAACTATCTTGGAAGGGAAGGTGAGGTATTTGAGTACTGCTTTTCATTTTTCTATTTGTCTTTTCATATTTCTTCACATTTTTTTACACTTAATTTTATCTCATTTCTTGTGTCTTCATTTTCTTCTTTTTATATTTCATCTATTTTTACTCTCTCATATGACTATGATATAGAAATAAACCTGTGTATTTAATGAATAAGGTTAGAGATTTCCTGTTCTTATTTTGAAAAGTAGGTATGTGGAATAGTCTATGTTTGGCTTAAAACTTTTCTTACATGTTTTCTGCTGACTTTTTCTTATAAACTGATGGACCGTAGGCAAAAAAGTGATTCTTACCCTGACTTAGATTATTATCTTGTTAGAAAAAATTATTCAATAATATTTGTTAAAGCACAGTAAGGGCCAGGCACAGTGCTCACACCTATAATCTCAGCAATTTGGGAGGTCGACGCAGAAGAATCTCGAGGACAGAAATTTGAGACCAGCCTGGGAAACATAGAGAGACTCTGTCTCTACAAAAAATATTAAAATTAAAATTAGCTGGGCATGGTGGCACATGCTGTGGTTCTCACTGCTCAGGAGGCTGAGTGAGGCTGGAGGATCACTTGAGCCCAAGAGGCTTCAGTGAGCTATGATCATGCCACTGCACTCCAGCCTGGGCAACAGAGTACAACTCTGTCTCAAAAAAAAAAAAAAAACAAAGGCACAGTAAGGCAGACTTTATTCAGGACTATTGAGGTAGGTATGGGACTACTGCAGTGGGATTTTGCTATGAGGGAGGAAGACTGGGCTTAATTCTTAATACAGCGTAGGCAACTGGGAATTTTAGCCAAGGGGGATGGGTTTGGGAGGTGGATGGAAAATTATTAAGTGGAAACATCAGGAGAAAGGGGGATTCTGGCTAAACTGACATAACAAGATTCTTGCTGAAGTCAGACCAGGTTGATCAGACATCACCTGTGGCTGGTGGAGGCGGAAGAATCTGATCACACACTGAGGGTGATCAAATATCAAGGGTATGGGTTTCTTATTAAAATGACTTAGGATTTCTGCTAAAATTAGATTTTACAAGGAAATACAGTAGTCCCCCCTTTTACTCAGGGGATACGTTCCAAAACCCCCCAGTAGATGCCTGAAACCTCAGATAGTACTACTGAAGTCTCTCTCTATATATTTTATATTATGTTTTTTCCTACATATACATACCTATAATAAAGTTTAATTTATATATCAGAGATTAACAATAAAATAGAACAATCATAATAATATACTGTAATAGAAATTATGTGAATATAGTCTCTTTCTCAAAATGTCTTACTGTTCTGTACTCACCCTTCTTGTAATATAATGATAACTGAGACAGCTACTAAAAGTGACTGGTGTACATAGCATGGGTACAACATAAAGGGATGACTCATGACCCAGGCAGACAAAGCAGGACAGGGTGAGATTTCATCATGCTACTCAGAACGGCACACAATTTACAACTTATGAATGTTCATTTTTGGAATTTTCCATTTAATATTTTGAGACCACAATTGACCTTGGGTAACTGAAACCTTGAGAAGTGAAATGGTGGGTAAAGGAGTACTATTGTACTCAGACAGGCCAAGGAGGAAGTTCAAGAGCCTGAGAAAACTTTGGTCAAGTAAACAATCTTTGTCATCACAGTGATCCTTTAGCACAGTTTTACCATACACACACACACACACACACACACACACACAACCAAATAAAAGAATATTTTAAGTTGTACACCAAGGTTTGAGGAGCGAGACTCTGTCTCTAAAAAAAGAAATAAATAAACCAACACAGCTGGCTCCTTGGATAATTGGAAAATAGATATCCCTCTTTAATTTAATTCTCAGGTAAAGAAAGAAAGTTTAAAATCTGATAGTTGAAGAGAGTTTTAATAACTAATTAGAAAATTTTTTGTATACCCTGATTTTATGGCAACTAATTAGAAATTAAATAAATTTTACAAATCAGGAATTTCTGATTTTTTTCCCAGCTAATTTCATTGCATGAGTCATATAAATCTATATTAACAAATATGAACAAAACAAATATATATATAAGCATAGTTAGAAATAAGATTTACTAAAAAACATGGAGATTCAAAATTAGTCATTGGATAAGGGGGGAAGCGGACACAATTCCTCTCAAGAAAACAGTATCCAATCTTTTATACAGGGACACAGCAAATACCGAAAAAGCTATACATAAGCTGAAAGGGGTGGCCTTGCAAAAATTACAGGAAAATACCTAATCCCACAATTTCCCCAGTAACAATTAAAAAGCAATCCTATGAGTTCTGCCACTAACAGGCACCCTGTAGGAGTTCTGTTTTGCACAACTTCTGAGAAGAGCTGAATGGACAGAAAAGATGTAAATCCCTGTCTTTCAAAACTGTTTTTTTGAGAATCTGCTTTTAGAAAGTTCCTGAGTAAACAGCAGAAGAATGAGCTCCACATCTTGAGGCCAGAGTCACATCTCCTGTGATAACCCGTCTCCAAGGAAAGGCAGGAAACCAAGTCTTGGACATAGACATCCTGCTTCCGCTTTTGTTATCAACTGACAGCCATCACTCTTTGTTTTCTGTTTGTCCCCCTTAAAACCCGCAAGCCAATTGGCCTCAATGCTGGTACCCCCTTCTCTTTCTTTGGGATGCCACACTGCCTCCCTTCTCTCTTTCACCTCCCTTCTTCTTTCCCCTCTCTCTCACTCTCCTCTAAGAAGATAAAATAAATTTTACTTTTATATTATCTTAATCTCTGAGAAATCTTTCTCCACCTGCACTGTGAGCACCTACTAGGCTTTCCACCCTAACAAAGTGAGAAATAAAGGTTAATTAGTGATGTGATCACAGCTTGGGTAGTTTAGGCTGGATCCAGGATGGCTTGTTTTGACTTCAACACTAGGTCCTTTTGTTTCACTCAGTTTCAAAATTCTTTTTAAAATAAATGCATGAAACTTTATTACTAGAAGGTTTTTAATCCTTGTATTTGCCAACAATGTCAATTATACAACTCTCCCCAATTAATTAAAACATTTCTCTACCACTGGCAAATATACTTTTATTTTGATGAATGTATTACATTTAAGATGAACTATATACAAATATGAAATTATAATATTAAGCCTTTCTTTTTTTTTTTTTTATTTTTTTTTATTTTTTTTTTTTTTTTTTTTTTTTCTCCCCCCCTCCGCCGACCTAAGCCTCTCTTTTGATGAAGTTACCTCAAAGACTCAAAACAAAAACCAATTTACTTTTAGTGGAAAATAAATCATTTCAGAAGGAAAAAAATTGTTGTTTAGAATTGGTTACTTGTTACCACCTCTCCTGGTAACAAGTGAGGTTTAAAAGCCTCTCTCTTGAAAAACTAATATAATCCCTTGAGGATTGTCTAATGCTACAGTGGCATAAGGATTATTTTGAACTAAAAACATAAGAGAATTAACAAATGCAGGAAAAGGTTTTCTCTGAACTTCCCCCTTTCTGCCTAAAAACAGATCCTCCAAAAAAAAAAAAAGAACTTAACTGTCATAAATCCCCTCCCATGGAAGTTTCATCCACCAAGAAAGACTCTCATCACAGGAGAGCAAAGAAGTTGGCACCATATTCAGACAGGCACTGTTACAAACTATTATAACTCCCATCTCATCTCCTCAGGGTCCATTTATCTTTCAAAAGTCATTTGTGCTTCCTTAAGTGTCCTCTTTCTGCCCTCTCTTCTAAAAAGTCATTTGTTCTTTCATAAGGCCCCTCTTCCCCTCTCTTTCATGGATTAAGGCTGTATAATATGCTCTCAAATCTCACCACTGCTTTGGGTATTCACTTCTTCCTGTAATGTTCCTGTGCATATAAAATGAAAAGTTAACCTATTTGCATGCCTTTTATCCCATTAATATGTCTTTTGTCAATTTAATTCACAGTCCCAACCCCTAGCCACTGAGATAGACAGAAAGTTTTTCCTCCTCTAGGATTGCTAGTGTTATTGCAGGGTACTGTGAAAGGGAGACTGCTTTCTTTAAGAAGCTACTCTTCTAAAACTATACTTTAGCTACTGAAATTGAGAACACTTCTGAATAACAAAAGGTTTCTTTAAAACAGACTGGTGATGCTAGACTACATTTTCAGATATTTAAAAGCCTTAAGGCTCCAAATTACAACAGTCCAACAAAAATAATTGAAATTTATTGATAATATCTAACAGCATTAATTAAAATCTTATAAATGTACTTCCTCAATACTTTAGCAAATTTGTGATAGAATAAGATCTATGGAATGGTAATTGTGATAATATAACTGTGATAATATAACTTCAATTTTTCTTTTTCTAGTCTTAGTACATGTAACACAATAAGAAATATATATTTGGTCTGTGAAAATATAATTTAAAAGCTGTTGTAACCCCAAAACCACCTTAAACCTTAATAGGAGACTGATCTGAATCACATATGGTCAACAATTTATGCTTCTTATAGATCAACTTGATTTTTTATTTTTCTTGTTCTGTACAATGACTAGAGAGAATAAAATGAGGTCAGGGAGAAAACTCTCCTGCCTTGTTAATTAATGGCCCTTGTTATACTAGATTAACTTCTCTTTTGTTATCCTATTTTGCTTAGACCACATGACAGAAAACCCATGACTATTACACCCTCTG